CTTTTTGTTCTTCTTCGGTTTGTCAGCCATCAGTCCAATCTCATTAGGACAGCTGCTGTAACATGAGAAAACTTAATTTATAAATATGCACCAGAGAATTACCAGAATTACCCTCATTCTGTGACAACTTTGCAAAACAAGCATTCAACAAATGAACAACAATTAGTTTGGAAACACGATGATGCAATGTCATATCTTGGATCTTTCATTCTGCTATTTCATGGGCCCTCTCTGAGAGTAACTATTAGGTTTTACCACCCACATACCCTGATCTTCACTAGAATGGAAAAACAAATCACTGGATTATAGGGAATGGGGCTGGGGATAAACAGTATTCATCAATATTATCATTCAAGACCATCTGTACTTTACAATATGGGGCTTGTGCAGGAATCCTGATATTGCAGTCAGGCTGCACTCTAGCAGCTCTCAGCTGCCGTATTCCTTGCTCCAACATTATCACATTACATATCCTAAAGGCAATATATGCAGGAGAATGGCAGAGGGTGGTGAAACCCAACCATGATAGGCTTATTGCCTATAAATGAATCTGATATTCCACATGTTGGCATTGGTAGAATTCCCTTCCCCCATCAAAAAAATTACACCATGTTTAATTCAAGTATAATTGGGTTTATAAAAATAGCAATTTATAAAATTTGCAGAATCAGATCTCGCCCTAAAAAAAAAAATTGGGCTGCTTAGTTTAAAATCAATAAACCATTTAAGACTTTTTTTAAAACACGAGTTCTCAACACATTATTTTCTCCCTTCATCTTGTATGCATATCTCAATTGTATTGCTTCACATTTTTAAAAATTGCGATTCGATTGCAATGTATTTCATTTCCTGTTGGGAGTGGGTGTTGAGAGTGGGTGTTGAGGGATTAGGGTCTTTTTTTGGAGAGGTGGTGCCTGTGAAAAATTCCTCAATGTGATTGGCTGCTCTGACACATTTTTAGCATGGAGCTATAGTAAAGAACATTACAATCAATCAAATCAGTTACAGGACTATTACACGGCAATGATAGGAAAATATGCTCCAGAGAGAATGCTAGGTCCCTCACTGGATGAGATCAACACTAGCAGAGTCGTCACTTCACTGCTGGGTCACAGAAATCCATCCATTAACTTTACTACTCAATGTTATTTCTGGATTCTGCAGAAAAATGGTTTGCTGCTAGTCAGCAAATTCACGTGCATGCAAATCAAAAGGAAGAAAATGCATAGTTCAAAAGAGTTCATCTAATTCTGAATTAGTCAATATCGCTGTTGGGTTAGTCGTGAATCTAGTTCAATGCTCTCCTGATGTTCTGTGTATTGTAATGTTGCAAGTATCTATGATCATGCAAGCATGTACCTTTCAGAGACCTAAGTGATGATATCTGCGAGACATCATGTCATGTGATATACAGGCATTGGAAAAAAGGTGACCATTCACAAGTCGGCATTGTGGCAGATACATTACCGATTCTAGGACAGAAATCTACAAGCAATAAGCATGAGAATAAAAGTGCTTGAATTTATTGTGTAGTGTAGCCATGTTCTTGGGAGAAGAATGATCTGAGAGTACATAGTGGATCACCAAGTGTGGAATACAAAGTCAAAGTGCTTTGGTGGAACAAATGGACTAGTTTACAAAGAAAAAACAAACAAAGGTAACTGAAAATTGATTCAGACCCATTAACAGAATGCTGGGAACATTTTACTAATGATGCAAATTAACTATGGTTGTAGTGGTTCCCAGTCAGGAGACAAACAGCACTGTCAATTGCAACATTTTTCAATGCTCTCCTCTATATTTTGTGTTTTTTTATTTTCGGCACAAATATTGATCATCCCAAGTTCTACTGAAATCAATGAGCTCGTACTGCCACTGACATGCAACATTTCAAATAGGAACAGCTGATAATTGCTGTACTGTATCCACTCGCAGGACAATGAGAAGAAACAGTAGCCACCCTTGTAAAAGCAAGCAGTAAAGTGCATTTCACCGAGTGTCAGCTTAGCAACAGTTCTTCAGTTCTGTCCAAGTACAGCAAGGACGCAGCAAACGCGTAACATAAAAACCACAACGAAGAACAACATTCTCAACATAGAATGGCAAGCTACTGACCTCTTAACAGAGTTCCAATTACTAAGCAAAGGATGAAATTCCACTTAATTGACACATATTTGATCAAGAAAAGAAAGTGATCAGATGCTTTAATGTTCTAGACAATGAAGCAGTGAGAAGGGTTAATTTCTCAAGTTTCTATACTAACAGCAACAAACCCTGAAAAAGATCTTTAAACCTGTTAGAGGATTAGATCAATGTTAGGGTAAACTTCAAGATTCACAGACTCAAGTTCATATCCTACATGAAGGGACTAAGCTAAACAACTGCCCAGTATATGGCCGGATTTCAGTAGAGTGTGACTTTAGTGAAGAAGATTTGTCTGAAAGAATCAGCCAGTTAATAGTTTCAACACAAAGTCATTCTAGAAAACACCCAAATAAGACTAAAGGGCTCATGATTGGAAAAAATGGATGAAGGTTCAAGACCATAATTGCAGGATAACAACGCTGCCAATCTCATGATTTCACAACAATAGCAACAGCAAGCAAACTGCATGAAGCGTCCCAGTCAGGTTAACCCCAATTACCTAAACAGTATTGAGCATTCTACAATACATGCACGTTCTGCACCACAAAGAGTCACTAGGCAAAGATGTGGAGGAAGTCTAATCTTCAGGGAAAGTTCAAGATCTAGCACAAAACTCAAGTATAAAATGTAGAAAGGATTCAGTCAAAGTCCAACACAAAAGATATCACCAAGGTTACACCCATGAAGCACAAACATGTTAAGGTAGTTCAGGAAACATCTGTAAAAGCAGCTTCCAGATCCAAACCAAACTATACATGTAGTCCATTTAACATACCTTGATGACATTAGAAGAGCTGAAGCATTCACTAAGATTGAGATTTTATATTGTGCAGAAAAACAGACAACACGAATTGCAAGCAGCTATTACAAATCCTAGATGCAATATAGGCAGGGAAATGAATAGGACTCTTGTGGTAAGGTTCCTGCCTCTGAGCCAAGAGACTGTGATTTAAGTCCCACATGCTCCAGAGGTATGTCATAACATCTCTGAACAGGTTGATTGGAAAGAAAATGCGAAAAAATGGCAGAGTGTGGTGAAACTTACACGCAATAAGGTTACTGTCTATAACAGGTCCACTACTCAATGTGTTGGCATTTGTACTCTCAAATTTCAATATGATACTTCTGGATGGATACCAGAAATGTTTACACTGCCAAGTAGAGGGCGTAGCCATTACTAATTTGCCGATGTACATTGATCTTTGCATTTTAATGATACACAGGTGGCAAAAACATCCATTGTGATACCATAGATCACAGATAGAAAAACTGAATACATCCATGATCGCACAAATCTATTTCCGGATTGGTTTGACGCCATTGGCAATTTGCATGGTGATGCATTATTACATCCCAGCCTGGTATCCAATCTCCTTGCAAATATAGTGCGCACATACAGAACAAGTTCAGAACTGAACACAACAATAGTGATGAAAACTTGCAGATTGTAATAAGTGAAAACAGATGGCACTATGCATCTCTGCTAAGACCCCAGGTGACTGAGTCTTACACTGAAAAATGTCCACATAAAACTCCCATGCAAGGAGTTCATCCCCAAACTCTCCAGTACCAAGTACTCCGAGTCAAATGCAAAATAAAAGCCATTGGTCTGTGCATCATTCACGCAGGTCAAAAGAGATTACCACCTTCTGGACACCTTTTGGTAGCTGTTGCTTCTTACATCTACCACTCTGGCCGAGAGTCAGGATATCTTTCAGCCCGTGGACTGAATTGTAGATAATGTTCCAGTTTATCTTTGTATTCCTGTTGACATTGCAGTCGTAGGGAAGACTAAGCACATGGAATCTCCACCAATTCATAGAGGTGGTGAAGAGACTTACCTTTGCCCTTATCACCAATTGTCAGATTAATACAAGCCAAAGAAACATTTTGGTTCAAGACACTCAACCATTTGACCTGGAAGATGCCTGCATCTCAGGCTAACAACAACTTGTAGAGGTGCCTCAGCTTTTCAAATTCCTGTCGGCACAAAACCCGGGCTTTGTGCAGTCTCCCCCTTCCAAGAGCTTCTATTTAACAATATACATTTCCTGTGGCAAGATGGCCACATCTTTGGAACCTTGAAGGATCCGCTCATCCAGCAATTGCATACATCAGTATAATGACCCATCTAAACCTACCTAAATTCTGAAGGTAGATAGCTCTAACTGAATCATGGCTGTTACATTATTACATGAGCCCATCACATTCGGCTCCAAGTCCTCCACATGGCCCAAACAGAATATTCTAAAACCAAAAGGAAGACTCTGGCACTGGGCACTTGGAATACAGTGATTCAACTCATACTTGTTTGTCAAATATATTATAATCCATATTATTCACAGGCTATTGAAAATTATTCACAGGAAACCGTACAAGTGCACTGCTACAGCTCTGCATCTTTGTTGAAATTCAAAGGTTCTGAATGAGAGGTCTAGTGCAAACCAGGTTCCAAGATGATAACTTGATACAGAGTTGGCTTCCGAACCCAGTCAATGTTAAAAGATGTACCCTTGGATCTACAATTAGGTGATATTGTTCTCCACCTCATTGTTGCTGTTCACTTCGGTCGTAACGAAGTTGTTTTGACGGGAATCAAACTGGGACCAGAGTCTACAAGGTGCAGAGGTGCATTTCTGATGAAGGGTCCAGGCCCGAAACGTCAGCCTTTCTGCTCCTATGATGCTGCTTGGCCTGCTGTGTTCATCCAGCTCCGCACCTTGTTGTCTCGGATTCTCCAGCATCTGCAGTTCCTACTATCTCCGGGACCAGAGTCTGGCGAGTTTCATAACTAGGGCTGTGGGCAGGGCTTTAAACTGAATAGAGGGCAGGGAGTTGGGTTCAGTTGCATGGAAAATTATGGAAAGAGTTCAAGTGGGGAGAGGTGCTGGTCAGCAGAGATTAGAGTTT